GCCGACAACGACCTAGCGCCTGAGTGGTTTCCACACACTCCTTCATGGACTTCCCTAAGGATGTAAAGGCCTTTTTCAGGAGTTACACACTTAAGCAGGGGCAGGGAGAAGCCACGTCGGTACAACGCTCCATCTCGGAGTACGAACCGAGCCGCTTTTCGTGCCATCTTCTTTTGCTCCTTCAGTTCTTGCGGCGGATTTCCTTGGATGAACTCCACGATTGGATCCATCCATGAGGGTGATGGAGTGTCAATCTCCATCACGTCTGGGTCCAGGATTGAGGGATTGTCCAAGATCTCGACTGGGACCGATCTGGCCAGGTCGGTCTCATATGCTGATGCCAATTTGGCTAAGGCATCAACATTGGAATTTTCTGACCGTGGAACTTGACTCACCTCGTAAGTCTCGAACTGGGCGAGGTGCGATCTGACTTTGCTTAGATATTTTTCCATTCGGGGGTCTTTTGTTTGATACTCCTCCTTAATCTGATTTACGATCAACTGGGAGTCACTAAAGACCTTGGTGTGGACGGCCCCCAATCCTTTGGCTACGCGTAGCCCTGCCAGAAATGCTTCGTACTCAGCCTCATTATTTAAGGTCCGAAAGTTGAACCGCAGGGCATACTTGAACCACGTGCCACCTGGTGCGAGCAAGAGGATTCTTGCTCCGCACCTTCTCTTATTGGAAGACCCATCGACGTAGATCGTCCACGGAAGGTTTGACTCGGTCGACTGAGGTGGTGAGGTGAGCTCCGCGATGAAGTCTGCCACTGCTTGCCCTTTTAACGCAGTTCTGGGTTCTAACTGGATGTCGTATTCACTCAACTCCAATGCTCACTTCATCAGGCGCCCTGATGTTTCTGGCTTATGGAAGATGTTCTTCAGGGGCAAGTTGGTAAGTACTACGACGGTGTGCGCTTGAAAGTACGGCTTAAGTCTTCGGGCCGAGGTGACTAAAGCGAAGGCCAGCTTCTCCATTTGGGGGTATCTGGTCTTGGCCTCGGTCATGGCTTTACTTGTGTAATAAATGGGACTTTGGCGTACTCCTTCCTGCTTGACTAGGGCTGAGCTGACAGCGCTGTCAGACACTGCCAGGTATAAGTGGAGCTTCTCCCCTGGCAACAGCTTTGCGAGCAGAGGTGCCGAGCAGAGATAGTTTTTCAATTGTTCCAATGCCTGCTCGCACTGTGCCGTCCATTCAAATGGTCCCTTCTTTCTTAGGACTTTGAAGAAAGGAAGGCATTTGTCAGTCGACCTTGAAACAAACCTGTTCAAAGCTGCAATCCTCCCATTGAGGCATTGAAGCTGTTTCAGAGTTTTGGGCGCTTCCATCTCGAGCACGGCCTTTATCTTCTCTTGGTTGGCTTCGATCCCACGGTTGTTTACCATAAAACCCAGAAACTTTCCCGAGGAGACTCCAAAGGCACACTTGGTCGGATTGAGCTTCATTTGGTACTTGCGCAGTATCCAAAGGCTTCGGTCAGATTGGAAAGATGCGACTTTGACTGCTTGCTCTTGACAAGCATGTCGTCCACATATACTTCCATATTCTGACCGATCTGCTTGGCAAACATTTTGTTCACCATCCTTTGGTAGGTCGCACCCGCATTCTTTAGGCCAAAGGGCATCACCCTGTAGCAGTACAGACCTTGGTCTGTTATGAACGCGGTATGATCTTGGTCTGGCAAGTTCATTTTGATTTGGTTGTATCCGGAGTAGGCATCTATGAAGGTGAGTAGCTCGTGCTCGGCCGTTACGTCCACGAGCTGGTCGATCCTCGGTATGGGGAAGCAATCTTTTGGGCACGCCTTGTTTAAAACCGTGAAGTCCACGCACATTCTCCACTTCCCGTTGGATTTTTTGACTAATACAACATTAGAGAGCCACTCGGGATACATAATTTCTCTTATATATTCAGCTTTTAATAGCTTGTTAACTTCCTCAACAATTACATCACTCCTCTCCTTATTTACAGGTCTTCTTTTTTGCTTTACAGGTCGGAATGATGGGTCTATGTTGAGGCGATGCACCATGATCTTTGGGTCGATGCCTGACATGTCCTCGTGAGACCATGCGAAGACGTCCGAGTTGGTCCTGAGAAAGTTGATCAACTCTTCCCTATCAGTGGCCCCCAACTTAGTTCCTATGCTTACTTGTTTTTCAGGGCTAAGCAAGGGAACAAGCTCGAGCTCCTCTGTTGGTGCAGAGAACTGCCTTTTGGCTTCTCTAGGTAGGTCGGCCTCGGACTCTTGCAGCTCGTCCCAAATTGTTTGTTCTTCTAGGGCGCATACTGACGACCCTTTAAGCGCGGAGGCATAACACTCCCTTGAAGTCTTCTGCTCCCCTCGGACCGTGCCCACTCCATTAAGAGTTGAGTATTTTACGACTTGATGAAGCGTTGAAGGAACGACCCAGAATAAGTGGATGATGGGTCTCCCAAAGATGGCGTTGAAGGCCGACCTTCCATCTATAACGACGAACTCGGTCATCTGCGTGACTTGTGTACTGTCCTGCCCAATTGTAACCGACAAGTCAATACACCCTTCTGGGGAGACTGACTCCCCTGAAAATCCAACCAAGGGCGTTGGACTTCTCTTCAATTGTGCTCTGGTCCATCCCAAGGCAAGATACGTTGTGAGGACAGAATATTGGCTGACACACCACCATCCACCAATACTCTACGAACCAGGACATGATCGATGAGAGGCGCGATCACAAGTGCATCGTTGTGGGGCAGATGGACCCCCTCTAAATTAGAGTCACCAAAGGTAATGGAGCAGGTTGGTTGCTGCTCCTTAATGGTGCACACCTCACGCCTGGCTTCTCGAGCCAGCTCTTTCCTTTTGTTCCCAGACTGGCCCCCACTTGGGCCTCCGAAGATGGTATTGATGACCGCGGGTCGGTCTTTTCGACGAGGCGGCAACCTCGAACGCTTCCTCTCATCTTTCTTTTCTGCCGAGTTGGACCTCGGTTTGCCTACAAATTTTTTGAAGTAGTCATCTTGAATGAGGTCTTCAATTTGGCGCTTCAACTCCCAACAATTTGATGTACTATGGCCGTGATCGCGATGAAAAAGACAATATTTGTCTTTATTACGCTTTTCTGGGTCTCCTCGAAGCTTCTCAGGTCGCTTGAGAAGCTTTTCCATCTCACTTTCCTCGATATTTGTAAGTATCTCAGAGATGGGGATGGTGGTTGGAGTATAACGCTCATAAGGTCGGCTTCGGTTGTGAGTGCTATCCGACCTTCGATAATCATCTCGACTGCTAGAGGAGGATGGTCCCTTGTCTTTGGACTTCGAATCAGTCTTTTCCTTATCTTTGCCAGCTCTTCCCTTGTCGATCTTTTTCTCTGGTCGGCCAGTTTTGATTCGGATGAGCTCTTGTCCATCAATGACTTTCTTTGCCTTCTGTAACACTTCGGTGAAGGTGGCTGGAGCCTCCTCCCCGAGCTTCACGGTGAGGGTCTCATCGGCCAAGCCGGTGAGGAAGTAGCACATGGCCGAGTCATCGGATCAGTGCGCGACCTTCAACTGCTCATCTTGGAACCTTGTGACATATTCTCTTAGCGTCTCACCTTCCTTCTGTCTGATGGTGGCGAGGTGAGTTGCTGTCTTTCTATCATAGTGCTGAGAAGAGAACTGAGTGATGAACTCTTTCCTCAGCTGAGAGTAGGTCGAGATCGACCTGGCCGGTAGCCTTCGGTACCACAAGCGCGCACTGCCAGTGAGCACGATCTGGAAGACGCGACACTTGATTGCGTCTGTCGCCGCTTGAAAGTCCATGAGGCCTTCGAAGACCTCAACATAGTCTTTTAGGTCCTTAGACCCGTCATAAGGCTTCATGGTGGGAGTCTTGAATTTTGGAGGAATCGGAGCCTCCAGGATGTCCGAGGTAAATTGCGATTCTCCCAGGTCACCATCATCGAACGGACTTTCTTTTTTCTCGCACTTGGCTTTCAAGGCCTCAACCTAAGCATCAAACTTGCTCTTTAGCTGATCGAACTCCTCCCTTGTGATCACTCCTTCGGGTGTTATTGGATTGTAGGAGGACTATGCCTGCCGGTTGGAGTTCCTGAGCAGGACGGAGATTGCCCCTTTCGAAGGGACGAGCTTCTCTTTCTGTTGAGATGCTCGCGGAGATCACCCC